TACCCGCTCTCCATCTTGTAACATAATATTTCTCTTAAGTATCTCTATAATGAAATAACTCAGTGTATTTAATGTTTCATTCCGTCTGATCTTAATTATCAAATTCTAGTATCTTAGATGAAGTTATAAGTTTTCAAATTCCATTCTCCCTTCATTATATAAAGATGCTACAAGACTAAAATGGTGATGGCTAATCAAAGTCGGATCTAATCTCAAACTGCAATATGCCATCATAAATTAATAACTACAAAAAAAAATTCACCTCAAATCACCCTCATATATCATCTAAAATATTTAAATTCTCAATCTATCTATTAAAGGTATAGAAAGTTGAATAAAATCAAAATAAAATAATGGTCATCGATTACACTTATTTTGTGGGTTAAAATCTCGATCATTTAATATAAAACTTTGCAATTGATTGTAATAATATTTTCTCTCTTATTCATTTTGATCTTTAATTTTCTTTTGCAGGTAGTTATCATAGATTTTCTAGATTTACACATAGATATCGATGAATAGATTAGAAGCCAAAATTGAGCAAAACATACCTATATGAATCCAACCAAAAAGCATATAATTATCCTAACTAAAATCAAAACTATATATTAGAAATGTTCCAGTTATTAGCATCACTAGCAACTCTCTAAAAATTAATTTTAGAAGTTCGAATTGAGATTACAATGGTTTAAATTTGATTAAGTAAATCAAATAGAAAAATGAAAGCATAGAGAGTAAAATTGATTATGCTTCAGGATAATTCATTAATTAAACAATAATCATTATGTAAAATAATACTCTGTAAATTTAAAAGGACTTACAATGAACTTACCAAAAAGAAGTTTTTGATTCGAAATAAAAATATTTCCATTTCCTTTAATCTTTTATTTGAGCAGAAGTAATGGTAAATAAATTGAAAGTCACAAAACTAACAAAAAGTAATCCAACAATTGCATTAATGCTGTTGAAAATTTCAAATGCACTATTAAATTAATAGTTTGGAAATTGTAATAATGTGCTGAAAATAAGTTAATGTAAAATTGCTTAGTAAAGTTTAAATATACCTAAAGAGAAATATTCGAACTTCAACTATAAGCACTTTTTCTAAATCTTCTATTAAAAAAAATCAATAAGTTTTAGAATTTTAGAATTTGGATCTCTTTCATTGTAAAACTTAAATAAGAATTCTTAAACACTCTCTGACACTATAATACAATATATTAGATAAGTTAATATTGATGCCAAGACAGAGAAATAGCAACTTTTTGCATTGAGCAAATAAAACTAATTTAAAGCATTTGCTGTGGATTTTTATTGAGATTTATTGCTGACTTAATAAGGAAGAGTACCTCCATTTAACTTTGCCAATAATTAATCTACTTGAAAATAATTCATAATTGGTTGCAATGAAACTTTTGTGTATGTATTCAGAAATTCTTTTAAATGTGGTGGAAACTGATATTGCATAAATTTGATATAAGATAAGGACTGTAATAAATCTAGCAAATTAAAGAACATAATAGCATTACCAGTCAGCAATGCCAAACTTGACACGCTTACCATGGAATACATCATAACGTCATTAATTTAAACAATAGAAGTCAGTTATTTTTTTGCAGTTTCAGGCAAGACAAAAGGAGTTCCGAGAATGATTGACTTTTAATAATCTTATAGATCTTATTCAAATTAGTTCTGTATTATGGATCTCTCTACTTCAACTTATAGAATAGGATCTATTATGGGTTCGAGAAATTAGATTGAGATTTAATATTTTGGATTGCTCAATTGAGTAGAAATATTTTAAATGAAACTGATGGTTAATAAATATTGAGTTTAAGTGGCTATTGTAAAAAAAGCTAGTTCATCAAACCTTAATTCCGTTTATAATTTAACCTCTTAAGTGAAAATTAATTCTAACATCTATGTCGAATTTGTTTTATCGGATAAAATATTAAGAACAAATTCTGGAGATCTATTAAATGTGCATGAACTTAATTATCCCTCTTAATTCACACATTTATAAGAATTTTCAATATTGCACAAGGAAGAGCATCCATCTCCTCCAAAACTATTTCCATCATCACATTCTTCATACTGATTAATCAGTATTCCATTTCCGCACTAATTAACACATTTACTATCAATTAGTAATTGATTTTCTCCGCATCTTAGAACTGTCTATTACTATTATTCTAAGATTGATGGATCAACATTAGTATCAGTTTAATTTTAGATTTTTTCTAAACATTTAGCTGTTTATATATCCAAGGTATATTATGAATCATCACATTTCTTACATTGACTTTATTGACAATCGACGCAACCGTTTGAGCATTAAAATTGACATTGATAGCATCCATCATCTGGTAAATTATTTCCATCGTCACATTCTTCTAATCCTTCAATAATGATTCCATCTCCACATATAGGAACACATTGGTTATTAATTAATTGAAAGTTATCCTCACAACCAGAACAAATATTCTGTTGTGCACATATTTTACAATCTGGGGTACAATCAATAGTAGGATCATCATCATCATCGGTATATGTACATTTACCGAATTCACATTATTAGCAAGTAACTTCACAAGAAAAGTTGCAACTATCACACCCATCATATGGTATTTAATTGCCATCATCACACAATTCCAATTCAACAATTAATTCATCTCCACAGATAGGTTTACACTAAAATTCATCTAAGGAATATCCATCTTAACAAATTTGACATATACCCTAATTACAAACCAAACAGCCACTTAGACAATTATAATTACAATTGTAGCAATTAGAATTGACATCTTATATGAATAAATCACAAATCTCATTCCCAATAATTAATCCATCTCCACAAATTTCTCCACATTCGTTATGGATTAACATATAACCAATTTAACATTCTTGACATTTACCAAACTTGCATACAATACAATTGGGATGACATTTAAATTAACAATTTTCACAGTATGTTATATATGATGGAATCATCTAATCTTCACATTATTCGTTTTCTACAATTAAATTATCACCACATATTTGAATGCATTATCGAGTATATGAATCTTATTCAAAGCCAATTTCACATTTAAGACAATCTCCATTTTAGCATTGCATACAATACTATGAACAACCCAATTTACAATTATTGCATAAGTCGAAAGGATTGAAATTTGAATCATCACAAAGTTCTTGTCCCTAAGCAACAATTCCATCTCCACATACAAATTCACAATTAGCACCTGTTAAATACCAGCCATTAATTTCATCACATTTTAAACAAATCCCTTGATTACATTTTAAACAATGATCATAACATTATATTTAACAATGATGACATCCATCAAGGGCATTATCATTACCATCATCACACTATTCATTTTTGACTATTACCAAATCCCCACAAATTGGTTTACATTAATTGATTTGATTCAACTAATTAATAG